TCTTTTCTTTATGAGTACTCTTCTTTGAGATATTTGATGTTCTTTCAACACAATCCAGTGAATGCAACTATTTGTAGAATTACTATTAGTAAATGTCAAAATATTAGCAGAAACTTTAGTTTAGATTTCATTTTAACTTGAAAAGAAACATTGTGAGATTTGTCAATGGACAACTATGGTTGAAGGAATGCAGCACATAGTTTAATCCTGGTAATTGCTGTCTTTGAGAGGTAGTAAATATTGCTTCTTGGGACATACATAGGTATATGCTTTGTGAAATTACATTATTTCAAGATTTCATAATAGTTATATAGATTTCTTATGCCTAACCCATTTTAGGTAGCTGAAACTTTTCACCTCTTTAGCAAACCAGTATGAATGCTTCAAAATTGCATATCTTAATTTATGTACTTTTTTCCCTACTGTTCTGCTCTTAGGCATTTCCATCACTTTTGAGAAATGCTGCTGCTGGAATTCCTGATGCAATACTTGGTGATGTGAAACTTTTTGGAAGTTTCCACTATGTTTAGAATAGACAAAGTTTCACTTACTGATTTGCTAAAGAATTAGACTTTTGTCTTTGTCACTTATTTCACTCAGTACCTTTTGATCCTCATTGCTAATTATATCCAAATTTGACACAGGATAGAGGGAAATATATGTGTATTTGTTACCAACCTGTGAAAAATAGCACCTGGTCAGAGGAAAAAACTCTGAAGAGGTACTTTAACTGAGAGAAAGACAGTTACAAATCCTCCTTCTTAGAGTAAGCAGCCAGATGGCAAGATGAAATGGAGATGTTGACTAACCCCTTGGCATACTTGTAGCTCTGTCATTTGGCAGCCAAACAGGTGGTAGCTGTGGAAGGCAATTGTAGGAGAATATGCTGAGGTGTTGGTGTATGGTGGAGACAAATTGGATGAACCTGAGGATCGTTAGATTCAAATCCATAGGAATCTAGGCTTCTGTAGCTTCCCCACTTATGGAATAGCTCAGTGACAGCAACACTGGTAATGAAGAGGTAGGTCATCCTTATCCTTCTAAAGCAGCTCAGGATACTGTTAACCTTGCCACAAGGGCACATTGCTGGCTCACTTTCAACTTGACCACCAGGCCTACCAGGTTATTTCCTGCAAGGCTGATTTCCAAGTCATCCAGTATTTACCAATGCATGAGGTTATTCCTCACTGGGTACATGACTTTGGACTCCCCTTTGTTGAACTGCATGAGTTCTTGTTGGCCATTTTCTTCAACCTGTTGAGGTCCCTCTGTGGCAGCATGGTGTATCAGTCACTCCTTCCACTTTTGTGTCATCCGTGAACTTGCTGAGGGTAATCGGTCCTACCATCCAGGGCATTAATGAAGATTATAAACAGAATTGGAGCCAATATAGACAGACCCCTGTGGTATGCCGCTGGTTGCTGGAATCTGACTGGAATTCACTAGATCACCTGCCACTCAGCCAGTTTTTAGTCCACCTTGTTGTCTGCTCATCCAGCCTATTATTTCATTCTGGTTTTATGATTTTACAACTCTTTTAAGGTCATGCAGTGATACCCAAATAGCTGTGGTTTTTCTCTGTCCATGTCCTTTTTTCTCTTGCCTGACGCTTCTGAGCACAGAGCACTTTTAGCCTGTGCGCACTGAATTCCTGCAGGTTTCATGTAAATTGACATCTAAGCAGAGGAGGAAGACACTATTAATACTGGAAAATGGAAGAAAAAAATCAACACTTCTTCACCTTCTTTAACTCATTTAGCAGCAAAAGCAAGCACTTGATGATCTGTGAGTTTCATAGACTCATCTTTAGACAACTGGCTAGTTGATTCTGAACCTGTGTTTCTAACCCATGGATATATTGCAGTGAAAGAAATATAGGAAATGAAGATATATGTTGGGACTAATATGATTAAGATTATGAGGTGGACTAGGATTTGTGATGGGAGATTGAGGTTTGTGTGGGTTAGGTATCTTTACAAAATGTTTTTTTCCTCATTGGGTGTCTTGCTTGCAGAAGACATCTCAATCTGAAGTGGTTTGATGCTTCAAAATTTTGTTTCTGTTTGGCTTTTTTAATACGGATATGAAAGAAATCCCATGTATGCTTTGATTTATGTGGTATGCCCTTGCCATAGCTGATGGGGCGAGTTAAAATCATGTTTTGGTAGTATCTTTAATTCCTTAAAGTTTCTGTGTCTTACAAAGTTTGTCTGCTACTGTTGTATTATTCTTTGTATTGCTGTGTTAAGTAGATTGTTACTGGGGAAAGAGGTGGTGAGAAGATGTGGAGTGATGAGATTATCCTTTGGTAAGCTAATGGTGTAAAGCCAGGACGTAGAACTCAGTCTTTAGAAGTACTCAAATACTTCAGTACTCATATAGGCCTCTCTGCTTAATCAGTACTTTTTAAGTTTACTGGGCTATTACTCTGCAGTAACAGTCTCTGTTATTTATTCTTTAGTTATTTTTCCTTCTATTGGTAACAGTAGGTTGCCATCCTCTGGTGAAATTTGTTAACTGTTTTCTAAGGACCTGACACACTGTCAGAAGAGAGAAACCCACTGAAGTTTAGAAAGCTTAGGCTCAATAAATATATATTTCATATATTTTTTTTTCTATGAGAGGAATGTAGTTACTTGTACAAGGAGTAAGTTATGAGAAGAATCTTGGAAGCATTTATATCAAATCTCTCTTACCCTTTATCATCTGTGGAGAATGTAAAGGAGTTAATTTCTTGACAGTTTTTCCACCCTATCAACTGATACTGAACTGCCTTGTTAGGTGGAAAGACTTCTGGATGCCAGTGTATTATCATTAGATAGTTATTAATAGGTGAATTGCTTTGCTGTCCATATTCAGAAATCGTTGCTGAAACTGTGTAAGGTGCATTTTATATTGCAATGTCATTGTGACATCCACATGGGTTTATGCCAAAGATACGAGGTATGTAAGTTATTAGTTATTACCCACAAATGCTGGCTGAAAAATAATATCAGAAAATAGTGGAGAGTTGTTGAACATACTTTTTTTTTCTCATACGTGACAGACATCCTATGAATTTATGTGATATGATACAGGAGGTGCCTCTTTTTTTTCTCTAAAAATAGCTTACAGCAGAGAATGAACAATGTGGTACTTATCTCCTTAATGCAAAATTGCCAGCCTAGCTGGAGTCACAGGTAAAGGTTTATTCTCTTTGTTAAGCTGCAGATTTTGAACCTGCTTTTCTGCTGATGATGTCATTGTTTAGTTGGTGTAACTAGTATAGCCTGGGTGTTTACACTTAAAACTAGTGATTCTTCAAAATGTAATGATTTTTTCTGTTACCTACTCTATTCTTTTTACTGGCATTCTGTTTGTTCTTTGTACTTTCAACTGAAGATTTGATTAAAGTCTGCCTTTATCCCACCTCCCCAAGGTGAAAGCTGGTAACTTAGTGTTCTACAAAGTAGATAAATGATCTGGAAATTTTTCTTCCATTTTTTCTTTCTTGACCTTCTTTAGGACTGAACTTTGTGTTGTTAAGTTTGCTACTCGACCACTCTTTTTCACTGGAAGTCCCTGAGATCTTTTTGGCTTTCACTTACCGCTGGTCACCTATAAATTTTCCTGCCTCATCTTTTATTTACCTTTCTGCTATCTTTTTGGTAGTAAACTTTATAAGCAGTGAATCTTTTGTGGACCCTGAAGGACTTCAGCTACTGAGCTGTTACTGTATGAGAATATGCATTTATTTCCAATCTTCACTTCCTTCTGGGCAGAGGGTTGTTACTGGCAATGCTTTGTGTCTCTGGTAGGGGGTTATGAGCTGTTTATGGTCATGTAAGGCAGGGTAGCCTATTGTTAAGGGAAGATGGGCATTTCCCAAAGGGTATGAATGTGCACTTGGGCTGCTACCATGAAGTAGTAGGTGTTCCTGCTGAGCAGGAATGTACAGATTTTTCGTGAAGATGGTTTATTCTAGGACAAATGACTAGCCTGTGTGGTGTGTTATCCTTTATGTAACTAGGCTGTTTCATTCTTAGTTACTTATTTCTGCTGCTGCTCTTTTCACGCTCCACAGAAATTTTGTAGAGGTGGCTTCAGGAGTTGGCTGTTTCCCTCTGCAGCCTTGTCAGGTTTGTTACCGTTGGATTTATTTAAATAAAGACTGCATCTTCACTGGGAATGCTGAGTCACAGTAAAAGCTGGTATGCATTCCCTGTAAGAACTGTACACCAGCAGTTCTGTGCTTCCTGTTACGGTAGAATTAATTCCCTAGTGGAAAAATCTCTGAAGATACTCCCTTTTTTCCTCTGTTTAGAGGTCATAGCTCTTCACACATGATGACGTAACTATGGCTAAAGAAGTCCATGATATAAACTACACCAGCTGATGAAGAATATACTCATTAACTGTGGTTTTCAGTACTGATCACTGCTTTCCCCATGTTATTTGCTAAGAAATGCATTCCTTAGAAATACCTTCAGAAGCCAGGAATAGAAAGATGCTTGGTGATATGCAGATTTGAATTGGGGTTTGTTTTCTTTTTATTCTGAAGCGCCTTATAGAATTTCTGATTGCAGTAACTATTCTGCAGGAAAACCTTCCCCTTGACCCATTCTCCCTTTTCTCCCCATGTGATTTTGGGTCTCAAAACCACAGTGGTACTAACAAAACATTAAATACAAAGAGACCAAGCAGATGAAAAAAAAATGAGACCTTAGACTTGATACTTATTGCTTAGTATACATAGGGAGGTGGTAGAAAGGCTGAGAGATTGGAAACTACTTGATTTCCCTGTAGTATTTTCCTTCTACTGGTGTGTGTCATTTTCCATAGCAGCTTCAGATGAAGCATTGAATTTTGAACTTGGTGAAGAACAGCAGTGATAAATGGTGCTCTTGGTATGTAGATTTGGAAGAATAGAGAAAATATCTACAGAAGTCAGACACATGCTTGATTATAATCTCTGAATATTTTGACATGACTTAGTATATAATCAAATATACAAACACAAGTATTTTTTAAGTTTATTTAATTTATTTTGAATCCCAATAGCAAATATACACTAAATAGATATTTAAAATACCCCTTTTATACAGTACTGTCAGTATTGAGAATTCTATGTGCTGACCTATGTAAGAAGTCAGGGCAGTTGAGTTCCAGCTATCTGCTTGCGTTCAGCAATTTTAAGGTACTTATGTTAACAGGGGATTCTTAACCCGTGTGATGTCAATTATAAAAGAGGAAAAAAATAAAAGGAAAACCATGATTACTATTGTTATAGATAAAAGAAAATGTTTGTGCCAGCCTAAAGGGAGTTTAATAATCATTCCTATTAAGCTTAAAGCATATGATAAGTCTTGAATCCTTCTTTTTCAAAGTTCAGAGTACATCAAATTGCATTGATAGCAAAACACTGAAGAACATTTCTCTCGGAGATGCAAGAAGAAATACCAAAAGCTTTTAGAGTTTTTTTTTTGTGTGTTATTTCTTGATACGAAACCTACCTTTATCTCACTTACTATGTTTTCATCAGGGAAAAAAGACCTCACAATATCGTACCTTTTTATTGCGTCTTTGCTGATTATCAAAAATGGCACAAGAAGTTGTCCCTTGAGGTCTGATAATTTCTTTTTACAACTTCTCTTACAATGCTTTTTGGCAGACAAAAATTCATTACTATGGAAAAAGTCACTTCCACTTGGTTTTTAGAATCTATTTAAAAGAAAGAATATGTCAAAACAATGTGATTTAAGTAAAGAATTTAACACCTATAATAGGAAACATCAAATACAGTTTCCAGTTTCAAGAGTCCTTCCGTAAGATATAAAGGCTTGTGTTTAAATTATTCAAATGTGATTGAGCATGGCTCCTACTAACATTTTTCATCTAATTCATTATCTCTGAAATAGTAAATACATTGTAAACTGGTTAAATAGTGTAAAATTAGCATTTTTCTGCAAATTTCAAGTATTGTAGAACTGATTTCAACAAGTTGTTTTACGAAATGACCAACTTCTCTATCACTTAAGGAAGTTTCCGAGTTGCACACTGTTTCTGGCTAAAATGCAACGGAAAGTTGAAGGCTGAACCTCCCAGTACTTTACAGGATTATTGAAGAGGCTTATGCCACTGTATAATGCTTTCTTCTTTCTTCTTCCCGTTGGACAGAAATCATTCACTCCCAGTTTTGCAATATGATTAGAATGGAGGAAAACTACCTGCAGTAATAAGAAACAGTAAAATCAAATAATTAGCATATAAATGGGAAAAATAGCTAAGCATTCATTGGCACATATATAGGTAACTGAGGTTTGCTGTAAGATTAGTTGGATACAGGCCTAAATAGTAATAGGAATTAAAAATTTGTGTTAAATATATATAAATATTTACCTCCTGATACAAAACAAGTGTTTTGTAGTCTCTCCCACAAAACAAGTTATATCGTATTTTATCAGTGTGTTGTCAGAATACTTGAACTCTGTTCTTATGGAACATTCTCCTAAAATGTAGGTTATATTTTCTTATAGTAAAAATTATATTCTCTCATAATAAGTATTGCATTCTACCAAAATGTAAATCTTCTGAGTTTTAATAATTTTTAAAAAGTAATTTCTAGAAAAGTTGATATTGGAAGATTTGCTGATATGGTTTTAATTGCTATTTCAGATTCTGGGAAATAAATATCTTTGAAAGTGTTTTATTGCTGAATTTTTCTAGCTCTAAATACAAATTTAAAATTTTATCATTTCAGCCTAATGAATAATTTACTTTGGATTTAAGATTTTTCAGCATGGGAATAGAAAAATTTCCACTCTGGCTTGCTAATGCCAGAGTGTATAGATATAATTATATAATAATTATTATATAATAAACCTGTAGCAAACAAATATATGTGACAATTCTGCTTTTTAGTTATGTGCTTATCAGCATGGTTGTGTAAAAGTCAAACGACTCATAACAACCAGAACTTTCTATTAAGTTTGGTATATGACCTGTAGATATTTCAGTTCGGGTAATCCAGGGGGAACTTTCTTGAGCTTATTTTTTTCGAGGTGGATTTCACGTATGCTTGGTATGTTGGCAAAACTTCCATTTTCCACATCTTTGATTTTATTATTCGCAAGTCCAAGCCTAGAAGTAGTATAAGAAACGTTTAATTAAGGACCAGTTGAGGTTCACAACAGCACTGAAGAGCATAAACATACTTTGGTTTTTGGGTTGGGGTTTTTTTGTGGCTTTTTGTTAGTTTGTGTTGGGGATTTTTGGGGGGGGGGGGGTTGAGTGTTTTGGGTTTTTTTTTTTGTAAGTTTGAAATGTGTAGGAGTAAGCATAGGGGACAAAAAGAATTGGGGAGAGTTGATGAAATCTTACCTCTGATAGAAAAAAAACCTACCACCAAGCTATCAAACTTTTTTTCTTCTTAATTCAGTCTGCACTTAAAGGACAGCAGCTAGCCTGATGAGGGTAGCTGTATGGTTTTGCATGCAGTTTTTCTACTTTCAGTGACAAGAGTTAAAATGATAAACATCAACCAATCTGCTTGTAAAAGAAAGTGTGCCATTTTATCAAGTAGTGTAATTTCACAGTTACTGAAAATGTTGTTCTAATAAACAGCCAAAGGAAGCAAGTCTTCTAAAGAAACAGTTATAGCTTAGTCAAAAACTTTATCTTTTAAAAATAAGCAGGACTACCTTTTTCCTACTTCTACATTTTCCTTAATTTAGGCCTTCGTTAGAATTTTTTGGTTTTGCTATGACACTTCAGCCTGTGTTGCTGGAAAGATGATTCAGAAGGTGGATGTGCATGTCAGTTTGCAATTGCTCTTTCCACTTGACCTGCCATCCTCTGTTTGTCCTTTCTTTCTTAATTATTTCAAAAACTAAAGCTGGTATCTAAAAGCAGCTCAGCAGTTCCTCTTTTGTAGTAGTTTCGTACCAAATCCAAAATTCACTGCTGCTCAGCCGTATTTTCAAAGTAGTTAACTGAGCTTTACAGAGCAAACTTTTTTGCCCTACATCAGTGATACATTCCTCAATGTATGGAGTGTTTCTTTCCAGTATACTTAGGCTTTCTCTAGAATTAAAAACCTATTATGACTCCTAAATCGTAGAATCATAGAATAGTTAGGGTTGGAAAGGACCTTAAGATCATCAAGTTCCAACCCCCCTGCCATGGGCAGGGACACCTCGCACCATCTCGCCCAAGGCCTTGTCCAACCTGTCCTTGAACACTGCCAGGGATGGAGCATTCACAACCTCCCTGTGCAACCCATTCCAGTGCCTCACCACCCTAATAGGAAAGAATTTCCTCCTTATATCCAATCTAAACTTCCCCTGTTTAAGTTTTAACCCATTACCCCTTGTCCTGTCACTACAGTTCCTAATGAAGAGTCCCTCCCCAGCATCCCTGTATGCCCCCTTCAGATACTGGAAGGCTGCTCTGAGGTCTCCACACAGCCTTCTCTTCTCCAGGCTGAACAGTCCCAACTTTCTCAGCCTATCTTCATACAGGAGGTGCTCCAGTCCCCTGATCATCCTCGTGGCCTCCTCTGGATTTGTTTCAACAGTTCCATGTCCTTTTTATGTTGAGGACACCAGAACTGCACCCAATGCTCCAAGTGAGGTCTCACAAGAGCAGAGTAAAGGGGCAGAATCACCTCCTTCGACCTGCTGGTCACGCTCCTTTCAAATCCTATCAATGTAGTTGCAGGAAAGGCATCCTCTTCCCAAAACAGAAGTCTGTTGGCATTGCTGTATACTTCATTCTGGGGGGGGGTGTGATTTGTGAGGTAAGTAACCAAAGAGTTAAAATGCCTGGGCCTGGTAGGGAGCAGCCTGGAGAAAACCACAGATTACTGTTGATAAATAATATGACCACAAGGTTTCATGTATTCTGAGTATGAGAAATACAGGCAATGCTTAATTGAAGCATATTTCTACTAGCACATTAAGAGATGTTACGTGAAAGACATGTTTTATTACAGAACACCTAGGTGCCATTAGGCAAGAATTTACAATAATTAGGTTTTGTGATGAGATGCTGTTCTTAACATGCACTTCTGGGAACTGTAGGCAAGAGGTGTAGTAAGAAGGTTAATGTTGGGGGGGAGAGGGAGTAGTTTTAAGTTTGGTCTTATTTACAGCAGTTCTTAGTAAAACATTTAAATTTCTAAATTCTCTTTTCTCCCACTGGCAAGTATTAAATAAGAGACCCTGCCAGGTCTGATCTTTAATCAAAGAAAAGCATTCTGCCTGGGACTTTTACCTTTGAAGATCTTTGTATCGGTTAAAATCTTCAATTTCAATTGCTGTGATCTTATTGTCATCTAAATGAAGTTCCAGTAGACTGGAGGGCAGTCCTGGTGAAAAACAAATGCAGTATGAGAAAAGTAAGACAACTTATTTTTGTTGGAATGTCTATTACGTTCCAAACAACTTCTTTCCTTTGTGTTTAGTATCGGGTGAAGAATTGGGGGGGGTAAGGTGCGGGGAGGGTGATGGTGTCTGTATGAAAGAAATGGGTATTGGATACAAGTGTGTTACTTAAAAAAAAAAATAAAACTTATCAACATAATTTGATTTAAAATAGTAATCTTGAAAGAAAATTAAGATGTGAAGGTACATATGCTAAAGTTAAGAATTCAGGGTTCTAAAATTTGATATAATTTTGCTAGTTTGCTTTGTAACAGCTTTCTGTATACTTTTGGTTAACCTGTTAAGGTGTAAATTGTATGTTATATGCAATTATCTAACTGTCGGTAGTCCAAACACTGCTCCTATGGAACCAGTTTTTGGATATGTATCTTCTTGCACACAGTGTAACAACTGTGTAAGTATAAGATCCAGACTGTGTTAACTGTCTGTTAAGTTCCGAAGATGTGATGTGGGAGGAAAGCTTTTGGAATTCTCTAAGGAAAACTAAATATTCCATATGTTCTTTCCTGTGCCAGTACATGGAGTGTTTTCTCACATGGTACCAAATAGTCCCAATTCAGAGCTGTCAGTGAGTGGACTGGGAGGAGGAGACTCTTTTTTACAACATGCTTTTAGTGAAGGCAGAGAAAGACATTCACAAGTTTGAATTTGTATTTGCTGATCTTATGTTCAGTTTTACCAGCATGTGTCTAGATGGCACCCTGACACCAAGCAAGAGAAACCATGCTTGTGAGAGTACTGCTCACGTTGCCATTGTTATTTGTTGTAGCCTCACAACACTGAAGTGGTGTGCTTTCCAGTCTGTTTTTGTGCCAGGGGCTATGCTATGGTGTTTGTTCATTTGGGCTTTTTTCCCACTTTAAATTCCTGCGTGCTGCTTGGAAAGACAAAATTGCAGTCATTTTATCTTTGGTGGATTTTTTTGATGCTAAGTGACAGGAGACACTGTTATAATAATAGTAGAAGAAAGTCTTTTTGTGTATATTAGGGTGTGTTACCATAAGCAGGCACATAGTTTCTGATCTTAATATTCTCTGAACAATTAATGTGATTTGCTTGGTTTATTTTTTTGTCCTTGTTTTTTTTTGTTTGCTTGGTGGTTTGTTTTTTTGGTTTTTTTTGGTGTTTTTTAGTGTTCTCTTCTACAGGATGCTTTTGTATTATGTATATATGTTTATGAGATTAAAGTTGATAAGATCTGAATGATCCCAAAATCATTATCTCAGGGGCCAGTATTTAGTTTCCTTGCAACCTGATGAATGATATAACAAATCATAGGCTGGTTTGGATTGGAAGGGATCTTAACGCTCATCCAGTTCCAACCATCTGCCATGGGCAGGGACACCTTCCACTGGAGCAGGTTGCTCAAAGCCCCATCCTTTTTCCTTCCCTTTTTCTCATAGCTAGTATTTTTGAACAGTTGAAATTAGCAGTTAAATTTTACTCTAGCAAGACCTCATCAAAAGATGTATAAAATGCTGTGTTGGGTTTTGCATTATGGTGGTCATATTGCAGAGCATATTTGAGCTACAGTCTCACTTGAAACATTCAAAATTCAAGTTAGAAGTTTTAAATGCATAAAGAAAGTGGGAATTCTGTATCACTGATGACCTCTTACAATCAAATATCAGGGGGTTTATCCTTTCTTTGCAAGGATTTTTGAGAGGCTAATGTAGAAGATGTGAAGTGACATTTAACTATGATTTGCTTCACATTGCTTCTCCTGAAAAGTCTCTGGATCTTAGGGGAGTGGACCTCTTAACAGGGAGAAGGCTGGAAAATGAGTGTGTGTGTGCACTGCTTGTGTGAGTGTGCATGTGCCTGCACATGTGTGCACACTTTTGGGATGTAGAATTGGATTCCAAATAGAGAAAGAAAAATGAAGTAGGAAGTGATTTGATAGAAATAAAAAATACCATGCAGAAGTTAAGAACATTTTGGTAATCATATAGATGTTGAAGCTTTTTTTTTTTTAGGAGTGTACTGGTATAGGTAAAATGGAACAGGTAAAACAAAGCAGCATACCTTTAGGAATTGAAGTTAATTTCGCTTCTGCAATTCTGATATGGTATATATTTACTCCTTCAAAAGCTCCTGGCTCTATTCCATCATTGTTAAGAGGATTTGCACTCATTTCTGTCCAAGGGAACAATAAAAAAAGAGGTCTTTATGGCATAGGATTTCTATGTATGTTTGACTGCGTTATAAACATCTGACTTAATTTTATTTCTGACTTCTGATGTTCTAAGCATTAATTAATATTTAGCTTGGATTACCTATTCTGAGGGGTGGACGTTACAGCTTTCAGTTGAAGAAAGGCTGTGAGGATACATAGTAATTAAATCATGGAAGATCACTTCCACAGCCTGGAGATCTCTTAAAGAGAAAGTTGCACACTGGAAATGGTTGAATGAAAACTATATATAGTATGTTACAGTTTTGATAAAGACATTTTCTTTTCTGCTTAATTGGACTTACCTAAAACATGTAGAGATTTCATTCCTTTAAATGCATCCTTGTGGATTTTCTTAACCTTATTAGCATGGATTCTGAGCTCTGCTAAAGTATTTGGTAGATTTGTTGGAATCTCAGTTAGCTGGTTGTGAGACAAATACAGTCGTCGTAGCTTCTTTGTTGGTTGAAAGGCTTTTGGATGGATCTTGGTTATTTTATTGTTGTTCAAAGCCAGTGCCTGTGAGAGATGGGAAGAGAAATACAAAGAAAATTTCTTTATGCAGGATCATTGACTATGAATTTTAAGTCATGAATTTGATTATATAATTTAAAAATTAAATATTTAAAAGACTTTATTTTTCCATCATACCAAACATTAGCACTGATGCCTTCTGGGCATTTCAGTTGATTGGGGGGCAGGGGGGGAAGAGCCCGAAAGCTGGAGCATCAACTAGAAGGTAGAGAAGAACTAATCAGAGCTGACAAGGTGCCAGTGGGCAATGAGAAGAACTGGCAAAAAAATGTGTGTCATCATGTATTTCGTAGGATTGTGTCAGGATTATATTCTGTTGTTGATGTTCCTTAATGCAGACAAATTCTCAAAACTCAGAATTCCATCTCTTATTTCAGCATAACACTGCAAAATAACAGGGTTTTAATCTGAACTTCCTTAATGTCTGTATATGACTTAGACACACATGAATTTGTGTCTTATTTGCCATAATTTCTCAACTTCTGGACTTAAGTCTCTTCTGTAGAGTACACTAGTCCTTTTTTGGGGACAGTTACTTGTTCTTGGCTGCTGTGTTTTATCAGAGAGCTTGTAATGAGTTACTACAGACAACAAAATATGATTTATCTGAGATTATTTTGCATGTCAAATCACATCTTTGCATTTCCATACCTAGAGTAATAAATGTTGTTCTTTTTTTACTTCTTTGAGCTGTTGGTAAGTCTCTGCTTTCTGAAATTGGGGGGGGGGGTGGTGGATATTAAAGTGAAACAGAATTAATTTGGTTTTTTTTTTTTTTTTCCCTGAAAAAATGAGGATAGCTTAAGGAAATAAACAGGAAATTCTCCTTCCTAATCCAAGTTGCCATCTGTTCCTTTGCTAACTAGGCTAGTACTCAGACAAGATGTACAAAGTAAACTTTGCTTTCAGTAAGAATTTTGTTAGGTCTTGCCACAAATTATCTGATGAGAAAAATCAAAACAGCTCGAAGTTTGCAGTCATCACATAATTAAGTGGTGACTCTACTGTATAATGTGGTGAATGCTAATGTAATCCAGTGTCCTTCTCAGTGACCAGAGGTTAGCATCTGTAAGCTCTTTTATACTGAACGTAAACCACTGTTAGCGTGTTTACCCCTGACTTGCTAGTAAGACCATTTTGTACCCAGACATGAGACACTTGAGGGGAGTGGAAACTGTTGCAAACTGTGAATTTATAACGTTCCTATTTTTTCTACCCTAGCTTAGCTCATAATGATTAAGAAGCCGATTCTGAGATGCTTAGATCTCGTAAATTTTCAGTTCTTGCTCAGAAACCAAACATGACTGATGAGGAGTTGGTTTTATTGTGATGTGTTTCATGGCTTCCTAATGAGGTAGAAAATGTCATTAACTTGCTGTAACTTGTGGAACAGATTTGTCATTCTTACAAAAAAAAGGTTTTCAAATTGTCAGTATTTGTTCATTCTGGATTTAGAGTGACATCCTATGGAGATAGGTGTTCCAGAACAGATTTAATATTCCTTTCCAAGCCTCTGAGATTCTCCGATTTTCTTTCATGATTAAAAAAAAATCATTATAGTGTTAAATCATTATAGTGTTATTGTGTACTGTGTTTAGATTAATCAGTTGCCAATTATTCTAAACCTGTCTGTACATGCTAAGGAGTGAAGAAATCTTGAGTATCTTCTTGGTACAGTTCCTGGATGTTGTGGGAAGTGGCATAGTTCTTACAGCTCAAAGAAATTTGCTTCTTGCTAGGTGGGAGCAGTCAAACATGCAGGCATTAGACTGTATTTTTATGGCTGTTACTGGAGAAGAAAAAAATGTATTTTAAAAGTATCAGAATATTTCGCATTGCTAAATAGGATTTTAAACTTGGAAAATAGCAAGCTTACATAAAGTGATGTGAGTCCTTGGAGATCATTTTCCTTGACCTCTTTAATTTTGTTGTTCTGAAGGTCAATCATACGTGTATCTGGTGGAATGTTGCGAGGTATTGATGTCAAACCTGTTGAAGTATGGGACAGAAACATTATGTGCTGCCTGTACATAAGTCCAAAGAAATTAACTGGTAAACACCAAAACAAAGTAAAGTTGTTGATGATTATGATGGGAAAGAAAATACGAAGTGTCATAAAGCAAAAGATAAAAGGGAATATTTGATAATGAGAAGAACTAATTATGTGAGAATGTATGATAAAAGTGTGTGGATAGTTTCAGGAGGAACTGCTTCTGCCTCTGACCATGAAAATCTTGAAGGGGGGTGCTCATTGTAAGTTCTTTACATCCATGAAATATGGGAGCTCAGAGCACAGGTTGTTCGACAGGGAAACTGTTGTATTTATAAAGTCCCTGGAGAAAGCAGCCTTTGGAGAATCTGGGGCTGTGGTCCTCTGTTGAGGACCAGGGCTGTTGCATGGCTTTAAGGGATTTCTGCTCAGTGCTTAACTGCTCCTTTCCACTGCCCTATCCCATTATACTGGCAGGGTTGCAGGTCACGTCTGCAAAATGTGTTCTTGGTAGCAACCAGTAACTAGTAATTAACTGCCAGTTGAATAAATCCCTCAGTCCAGTTCACTGTTGAGTTACAAAACCACTTCAGTTTATGCCATCTGAGATCCTGAATCAGCAGGAAACTAGCAAGGGATAGTAACTTTCTTTGCAGTGGAAAAGCTGATGCAGCAAATGGTACATGCTGGTCCAATTTATCAACAATTATGTTTTAATTAATAGGTTACAGTTATTTAAAGATGAAGTCTGTTTCTAGGGTGTTTTTTTCCCCATATGAACTTAAAGTAAAGCAGCTTGCAATCTAAACTAGATGCAATAATCACAGTTTATTTTTGTCAGAAAAGTTTATTTTCATTCCTTAATAATGACACATTAAAAAACCCAAACAAACAAAAAACCCAAACAAGCAATTTATACATTCAGTCAATGTTTCTAAGATATGAGGAGCGTAGGATTGAGTTTAAGCTGGTGGCAGAACTGTGATGAGAACGAATGTCATTGTGCAAATGACAGGAGCATAGGCCTTTGATTACTTTGGATCATGGGGAAAATTCAATGGACACCCATTCAAATTGTCACAATTAATAATTCAAATTGTCACAATTAATAATGACTTTGTATTTAGCGACTAGCATAAGGCAGGTTTGCCTTCTGTTAAAATGTTGTTACCTGTGGTATTTTTTCCCATGAACTGGGAAAACATGTAAAAAGTGCTGGGCACAGATTAGTTGCTGAACACGAGTAGGGTTTGGTTTGCAAGCCTAATTGAAAAAATGTCAGCTCCTGTGGAAAATGACTGTTGCAGGAATATAAGAATGTGTGTGATTTATGGAGCTGTAGGAGTCACCTTTTAAAAAGCAAATCCTCCGAAGGAGGGTCCCGTGGAGAACAGACACAACTTCATTCTTACCTAGGTCAGAGCAATGGACAACTCTCACATAGCACTGGCATCCAAAGGGGCATACTGGGAACAAATCAAAAGGAATCAGTGGTATAATTGGTTCACTGGTTGGGAATAGAGAATTGTCATCGTCATCATCATCATCTTCTTCCATATCTTGGAGCATCATATTCTTTAGTGTAAAATACGAAGGACCAGTGAGAGGTTTGGCAGAGCACAAAGCCAAGAAGAGGAGGAGTGTGTATTCTTTCATATCTTCTTAATCAGGATAGCCAATCTTAGAGAGGAAAATAAATAAAACACTCAAACACAAGAATCAGTGAATGTGAAACAGCAAATAAAAAGGTATTGAACTATTTACTTCATCCACTGCTGCACGCTCTGATCCTGAGAATTGGTCTGTTATGAATATTAAGGTTTAATCAGATTACGAAAGATGATGATTATTAAAAAAAGTCTTTAAAATACAAATCATTATTATAAATTATATAATAATAAAATATTTAATGAAATTCATTAGACATTAATGTCATATCAACGTTTTTTAGTTGAGCCTAAAAAAATAGTATCATCATTTGCTTCATAGCTTGCAGGTGTAATTTTTGTAGTCAGTTTTACCAGAACATGGAAGTGGATGTCATTTATTCATTCTTGATGGAAAAAAATATTTGTATGTGATGCATGGGCACACGTGCATTGCTTGCATCTAGAAAACTGAGAGATACTTGATTAGCAATGCAGAAAATGCTCTCATCGGGATACAGCCTAAACATGTGTTATCCTATTCCCTGAACACTTCGAAGTAAACTCTTATTGTGCCCTTACAAACTGTGGCTGCGCCATCCCTGAAAGTACCCAAGGCCACATTGGACAAGGCTTGGAGAAGCCTGGCCTTAGGGTAAGATGTCTAGGGGAAGGGGTTGGAACTGGATGAGCTTTAAGGTCCCTTCCGACCCAAACCAGTCTGCGATTCTATTCACTGTCCCTGGAAGTGTTAAAAAACGGTGTAGATGAGCCCCTTGGTGGCATGGTTTAGTTGTGGACTTGGCATTCCTGGGGTTGCAGGAGGACTTGATTGATCTTAAAGGCCTTATCCAATCTGATTCTGTGATTAATCTGGAAAAACAGAGTTTTCAGTCCTGACAACAGCTTTGCCATTTCCTAGTCTTCTGTTTGTTACTGGCATTGATGGAAGGTCACCTTTGTATGGAAGCACATTTGCATTGACTTTTATTTGACAAGGGCTTATGAATCCATGTTCTTTGAAATCAGTAACTTAAATTGCACCTAGGAAAGGACTAGAAGCCAATACATTTGAATGCCTATTTTTTCAGTAAAAGTGGGTTTTTTTTTCTGACATAGCTTTGTTGTCATGGGGCCTGTACATGACAGCTAGGCCAGCTGATAGGAGACAATTATGTGTCATGCTTGAATTTACTGCCGTAAGCCCCATCAGCTTTCTAGATTACCTAGAATTTGGGATTATCTTTCTTGTGTAATCAAAGGTACTTTGGTCTGGAAGACAGAAAGATGCTGGATCAGCTAGAGCACCTTCAAAGTAGAAAACCCCATGTCTTTTTCCTGAAGTTGCTGAGAAGAGTACAAAAGTTGCAAAGGACTTACAGAGTAGATTTGTATTTAGAAAAAAAGGACTGATCCTGCCTCATTACAGCTGTTCATTCAATTTAATTCAATTCTGCTTCTCGGTGTTCTAATTTTACCAGATTTCTTCTAGCCACACCTGCCTGGGAAAACCAGGAGTCCAGTCTTTAATTACAGTAAAGTGTATTACCTGAGTCATGGTGATGAATCATAGAGTAGTATGGGTTGGAAGGGACCCCTAGATATTTTCTACATGCTCTGGTGTTATTCTAAACATCACTTTATTGACCAAATACTCCTATAAAATTAGACACAAGGGAAAAAGAATTACCACAGGATGTTTTGCTACTCTGTGAGAAAAGACTGTAAATTCAGCTCTCAGCTCTGCCTTCTTCCTCTCTGAAGGGATATTGTTTGGATACTGCAGTTTGCTGTGCAAACCAACAGGAGCTGCTGTAAATTTTATTATGTATATCCTGTTTATAGAAATGTTTCTATTTAGACTATCATAGACCTCTTTAGGGAAATATTTAATGAATGTCAGTTCTTGTTTGATCACCTAATTAAATCTTGCTGATCTGTTTATGGCTGAAAAATGTCTTTATGTAGGCATTTTGTCTCTGGTCTCAGTCACAGAGGAAGGAGTGTTCTGGTTTGTACAAGGGTGTTGGCTTATTCAGAATTCTGAGGTTTTGTTTGCATTGTATTTTTCCGTACGAGGTCATTTTGATGTTTCTTGTGTATGGTTCTTAACAGCACGAAAATGCTGTGTATACATACAGTGCTGCTACTGTAACTGTGTGTAGTTCAGGGTGTATAAAAGGTAAAAAGATAACAGCATATAGATTACACTCTCAATAAAGAATGCAGTGACTCCTTCCCCCCAGATGTGTCTGACAACAGAACACTAGTATACTTTGTACCCTTGCAGGTATATATAGTTTTGTTAACAGTTAACTTATGTTTGTGGTAGGCACTGGATGTAGTGTTACAGCATCTAAAAGATAATCTTCCATCTACAATCCTGAAATGCTTTTCTGGATCTGGTGCCAGAAAGTTGTCCTATGAAACAATTTAAAAATCTGTTTCCACACTTGCAACTGTAGCAAGTGATTGCATATTTCAGATATTTAAAGAACTAATTATTATTTCAAACTGTGGAAAATTTGAGGCTGATTGGAGTAGTGGCCAATTTGAACTCTTGAAAAACATGCATTTCACAAATGGTTCTAGAGAAGTAATGTTGAAATATGACATCAATGACATACTAGTCCTTTGAGAGAAATATCTTGAAGGCAAGTCACTTTACAAAAGGAAACCTGATTTGTGAAATAAATAGAATTAAATATATATATTTATATACATACATTTTTATATATATAGGCTTTGTTCTTAGGGGTGATATATATATGGGTGTATATATATATAGGGGTGGTGTATATATATACATACATATATATATATATATATATATATAGGCTTTGTTCTTAGGGGTGGTAATCAAGTCTGACTCCAGGTTTGTATTGGCCAAAGAATGGATTCCAAAGAACTGGAGTTTATGGAAGTTCTAAAGTTTTTTTTCCTGGATGGAGTTTTTGAATTTCCCAATAAATAGATGTTGATATGTCTCTGTGGGAATGCTCTGACTTTGCAGGTCATCTCAAAGAACTCATAAAAGCTTTCTACATGCTTACACTTCAAGAGTAAGAGAATGAAAAGAAAATGAAAGCCTCAAGTCCAAAATCCTAGTGATCTTTCTAGAAATACTTCAATTATTGTATCATGACAATGTTCTGAAATAATTGTTTCAGAAAGTACAGTTTGCGAATACAGCTGTACTAATGGTCCACTACTACCACTTGAAGCTGGTTCTGCGCCTAGGGACATATTTCATTTCTCTCATACCAGCTCTTCCAATCAGGCTGTTTTGCTGAACTGATGGAGCTCACTAAAGCAGCATAAAACTAATGTGAGCAAGAAAAAAACCCCAACACATTCTTTCAGGGTGAATAAACTAAATCAATCTTGAGTATCAGAGCCAGCACAAAGGAATGGGTGGAACAGCCTGGTTTAGGGGGATGAAACACTGAAGGGAAAGAGAGGGAAGGACAAGGTTCTTGGCATATGCAAGCTGTTAGGCTCAGGTGCTCTCTTTAATAAAACCTTGAACAGATGGTTGTTGCTTGAACAGAGTCTGGCCTTGTCCCTTCTCATTTTTAGAGACCAGAACATTGAAGATGAGTTTGAGAAAATGTTGGGAATTCAAGGACAGCTAATATACTTTTTCATTACATTTTCTTTATAACAATCTTACTTTCTCCTTCAGTAGAAAGAGCTACCAAACAGCACCTTTTCACTGAAAGACTAGCCACTGCAAAGTGAGGTAGCTGAATGTGCAGAGTATACGTTATATGTACAGATGCTGTATGGCTGACTTTCTTTCCTGAAGTATGACACTTCAGGAAATACGACTTCAGAACTTAGTGAATCCTAAACTCACTGTGCTGATTGTTTGGACATACATACCCTTACTAATATGGTGGTTTTTACGAAAACTCATATTGCCAAACAGCATGTGGAACATAGGAACTTTTTATGTATTAGTTTAGGGTAAATGTGCAATAGTTCTGTTACGTGAAAATTCTCAACACTAATTACGGAAAGAAAATCCCTTTCCGTGAGGGTAGAAGTTACATTGCTAGTATGGGATGTGTACATAAGAAAACCCTCAACAAAACAGTTCAAGTCTAGATTCCTTGGCAGTGTCATGCCAGTCTTGCAGCATGTGGTCTTTGTTGTCATACCAGTTATGACTCTGGAGGAGTTAATAGGTAAAGTTTTCAGACTTAAAAAACCCTCTATATTTAGAAATAACCTCTGTTACCCGTGCACAGGGGCAAATTTCCTGTGGCATTGTTTCTGAAAAGGAAACCTTTAAATGACACAGTGGTGGTCTTTATAGAGGCAATGAAAAGTCTGTGTTCATTAATAACACAAACCATTGCCCCATGCACAGATTTTGTCCAAAGAAAGGCAAGACCATTGCTGTTTTGAAAGCTGTATTTAAAAATAGTTCTGGTTCTATTAGTCATTGTCCCATTCCAGAAATAAAAGGAGTTTATGTTTAACTCTTTGTCTACTCTATTGATTTACTTAAATTGCTAAAGAAAAACAGGAAATTTTGGGGTTAGTAAGATTACTGAGGAAATTATTCTGTCCTGAGAAATAGTCCAATATTGAAGTTACGTGATATGATAATAGCATGTTTACAAAGTAAGTTATGTTTAGAGAGTACTTACTTTTTGGAAAACTGCTTGTCTCTTGTGTATTACTGAATATGATCTATGAGCATTTTAAGGGTGTAGCTTGTTTACAGTTCACTCTTCCATGTGTCATTTTTAATTACTTTGGAGATAGCTACTTTAAAAAACAAACAAGCACTGTGAATACCAAATTGCAGAAAGTTAACACAGAATTGTAACTGTAAGAACAATTGTAGGATAGATTTTTCATAGACTGTAATAACTGAGGAAAAAGTCTTCTCAGTTGTTACATCTTCCTGACAAGTCTTTCATAGTTAAATGATTCACTGTACCCTTTTATTGCTTTGCAGCTCAGATGTAGTAAATACAGAATTATTTCAGCTGGAAAGTTGATTTTCAAATGCTCCATAAACAAAGTGGTGCTTCTAACTCTAAATTGCCTGACATTATTAATCTGCAAATAGTGACTGACAACCTGTTGCTTAATTCTTTGTTGTTTATATAGAATAGGTATTCAAACTGGACATACCTTGCAAGTTTGGTAGTTCTTCAAGAAGCACTGTGATAATCCACCTGAGATCTTTATGTCCAGTTATTTCTTATTAAAAAATAACATAAAATAAAACAGCAAAAAAAAAAAAAATAAAAAGAAGCTAAGCTGAGTTCTGTGAAATGGAAAGTAAATATAAAGAAAAATTCCACTTCCAAACTTCTTGATCCTCCTGGCACTGTGAGTGATACCAGAATAAAGTGCTGCTTCAGATTAGCCCATCTTAGTACTGAAGAAAGATATTAAGATGACTTGTTACCACTCATGTGTTTTTCATCACTGCCTGTATTGCAGCCAGAACTTCTGGCTTAACTCTAGACGTCTAGTGGAGGACTTTATAAAACCTGTAGTTTAATAACAGTTGACATCAGGCCATTGGAAGTACAGAGAGGACCATTTCAGGTTATTCCTGCTACGAAATCACACTTATTTATGACTTCATTAGCTGTTATTCCTTAAAAAGTATGATGTGAATAGAAGTGTAAAACCTTAGCCAGTGACAGAGTAAATGAATAGCCTGTAGTGATCAGCATGTTGTCAAACCTTTCTAATTAGGACTTTGTTGTGTTGTTAGACGTAAATCCTACCTCTTGTTTTCAGTAGGCAACTATCTGGTTGTGGAAAATGGTTTAAGATTGTAAAATGTAGACCAGATTTTATTAATCAATATAGTTATTTTTTCTTTCTTGTGCATGAGAAATAAAGCCTATCTGTTATTTAAAACAGATATAATTGCAATATTCTGTGGTAAGGATTGAAGTTGTGAACTTAAAGTCCTGTTACATAGTTTGTACTGACATACACATCACAACAGGTAGAAACTGGGTTATTCTTTGTTTACCATCCATATGCTGCCTATTTAAGTATGCTTCAAAATGTGTAGCTAATTGACTTTACCTAAAGCAAGTTTCACAATTCTATAATTAAATATAATTTACAACATAATTAAACAGTTTGTGTCTTTAAATTTACAATACATTGTATCTACCCAATGCCATGAACATCTACTTCATCTGTTTCTTCAATAAGCTCCTTTCTATGTTAACAATTTGGTCTTGCTGTGGAGAAATAGCCTGGAAATTTTCTTTATTGATTTATTTAAATATACATGTAAGGTGGTGCTCTTTGCAGAAGTTGCATATAAGTTACTTGGCTACTGTCCATTTCCTAAGGGAGAAAAAGTTACTATGCCAAAAATTCAACCTTTGGTGCTCTCAGCAAACAAGATAAGGCTTGTGTTACCTGCTGCATTAGTTTTGCTTGAGTTCCAGTTCCAGTAGCATAGATGAGTGATGATATTCTCCCTATCACTTCTCCCAAGGAATGAAATTACAGTTTCAAAAGCAATCACATTCCCACAACAATCTGAAGGATGATTCTGAACTTTTTTGAAATCTCCAATTGCATATATCTGCAATCTCTTGACTGTATTTAGAAACCCGAGCTTCCTAAGCAAGCACTCCCCTGTGTTTTGTAATAGCTTGGTTTGGATGCCTTTACTTGAGCAAATTACTATTAAATCACTCTTTAAAAGAAAAAAACCAACATTTTCTTGGCTTTTTAATAAAGGAGAGCATGGCTTAAGACTTGTGATAGAAAGGTACTGATTTATTTTCACTTTCAATAGTAAAGTGTTGAATCAGCAATTTCAGCTGATCCTGGTTTTGCAGCAATGTTCCCTGTTCCTGATGTTTAGCAACATCTCGGTTTTGGATGAATGCTTTTTTTAAATTATTACTTAATCTTTTTAGTTGAACCTGGTGGTAGGAACATGTCCTTATGTGTATAGAGTTTGCCATAGCCTCATTACATAACAAAGCTGACATTGTGGAGATGTAGTAGCTGACAAAGATGTAACCATCTTAACTTATATAGGATTATCCGTACATTTTATACAATATATAGCATCAGTATATTAGAAATAAATATTGCTTACATTGACATGCTGTTCTTGTAATGAAAGTGTTTAATATATTATGATATATATCAAGTATTTTGGTTATGAGCATATAATTGCATCCTAAAATAGAATATCCAGAAGTCACCTTTTCATATTTCTTGACTACCAGATTCTGAACTTTAGATTTTCACCATTGATAACAATAATAAAACCTATAATAGGCCTGTGGTTCTCAATCTAGTTTACAAGCCTGTCTTTTTAAACATTTGCAGCATATTTCCAGTTCACTAAAAGCTAACTATTATTGGCAAATTCCTCTCCAGGATCATTCTTTCCAGTATACTTTTAATTTTTGGACCCAATATCATTGCATGAGCCAGCATAGTAGGGCAGCTATAAAGTCCTGAATGCAAATTGGTTTGTGAAAATAAAGGAATTGATGCTAGGTACTTGAGTCAATGTTCCTCTCACTTCCTGGGGTAAAACTGCACTAGAAGCTGTAGCAGCTGCTCAAAAGCTGTAATTGCAGCTTTTTTGAGGTAGGGTCCAACTCTGCTTTCTTGGCTGAGTTGTAAAGCAATTGATTAAAGATGATAACAGTTATGTCATTAAAAACATTATACCTTATTGCATCAGCTGTTTCATTAATAGTGAGATTTTGTTTTTAAATAGTCTTCTAGAAAAATGCATCTGAGTCATGATGTGATGTTGGGGTCTAAATTAAGAGAAATATTCTCCAAATGGATATCTGAAGGCATTTCCTTATAAGCAGGTGTATGTGTATTTTTGTCAAGGTTATATGAGGTCAAACTGTTTAGACCTTTTCCGTGATAAATGTTTCCACCAGTGAAAGAATTGGTTGAAAATTAGAATTTTATCTTGCCTTAAAATACATATATAACTCTTTTGAGTAGTGAAGATGAAATTCTGACACATAGTATAGGAATATATCCATCATGTTGTGGTTCAGAATACTGTCTTTCACTATGGTAGAAAATGCAAATTAATACAAATTGCATGCTGTTTTATATTTAGTATTATCACATCAGTGATATAAAATGCTCTCTTGATTACTTTACTAAAAATTACTATATTTCTATTTGTGCAGGAAAGCATAGCTGCCATAGGCGGCCAATGCTTTACACTACAATCTCCTTTTTAAGCTGATCTTGCGTACATTTGTTATTGTAAGGCAACCAAAGTATTTTTTCTTTTTCTAGTGCTGTTTATAAATGTGGTTTACATAAAGTGACGAATCTAACATCATCTGCACAAAGCTGTCTTGGAGACTGCCCATCACATTTTAATAACATGACATATTCTTTTTATGCTCACAGCCAGCCTATGTGGAGCGCAGTTACATATTTTGATTTTAGCTGAGTTTTGGCTCTTCTGAAGTAGAGCTATACCGTTTAAGGAAGCTGGGTATAGAAAAACTATTCTTTTGCTTCTGTTGTTCATCTTGAGTCTTCAGTATTTCTGTGATAAATATATAAAATAATCATTAGAATTTATTATCATGAATGAATCAACTTTTACATGTTACTAGATGGCTACTTTTTTGCATCTATTTGGCAGCTGGCTTAGAAACCTCAACAAAATATGCTGTTTGATTTTGCAGTCAGTCCTTTAGTCTGTGGCATTGTTAGTAATATGCCAACATTGAAGGGCAATTCATAGGTCGCAGTATGAAGAGATCATGCACAAAAAGAGCTATGGAGTCAAGTGTGCCTATACATGTATCCATGTGATTGTCAGGCTTATATGTTTTATACATGCAAGAATGCTGCAATCGGGAATGACTAGAGAGGTGACCTGGAGAAGCATCATGGTTTCCTGGAAAGACAGACCTTACTTTTCAACTTTGCAGATCGTTTGTGTTGTCTTAGGAGAGTAAGTTAAATTTGTTTACCTCAGGCTACAAGTTAATACAAATTTCTCTGTGTGGGAATGCCAACTTAAGAAGTCCTCAGCTAGCTTATTCCCACCTTGATTCCCATCTCCTTGGTCCTGTAAAAAGGCTTGTGTTCTTAACTGGATCAGAAGATGCCTCTGCATAAAAAACAACCTGCTTGATGAATTAAGGTCTTGAAAAAGTTTTGGTTTCTGTACGTGTCAATTGTTAGTCTTGCTTTTGATGCTACTTAACAAGCTTGGATAATGTTGCATGTCATTTTTATGGAATATGGGTATTTATCTGCCTTACAGACATTGAAAACACCAGACATTCTTGCATGAAAAATCGAACAGTAGTTAAAATAAAAAGCTCTGCAACCATTGCCAGACTACTGAATCACTCTGACAACAAGTAATAAGGGAAACTTTTCTGTTTCGGAATACATGCTGGACTGGGCACAACATTTCCTCACAGAGTATGAAGCATTCACTGTGCCAAAGTTTAACAATTTAAAACAAAGTAAACAACAAAAGCCTGATCCTCTGCAAATGATGATTATTTTCCATTTTTCATTGTTTTAGAAGACAGTATTAATAATATGGGAGTTTAAATGAAGTTTTCTTATACACAGTCTTTTGCTAGATTCATATTATTCAGCACTTAAAGGCAACATTTAAAGTGGTAATTGTCACCAATTTCCATTGAGATAGTAGTTATAAAAAAAAGAAAATATGCCCATGCAGTCCTTTGTATTCCAGAAAAAATGAAATAAACTATTCGAAGTATGCTAGGCTGCCAACATGATCTATCTTAATTTGGTATTATGTTTTTTCCTAGTTTTACTTAGCAACAAAAGTAATTTACATTACATTAGAAATCCAGAGATCCAAAAGAAGATGACTTTGACTCAGTTGGTGATAAACTGTTAGAAATGGAAGTAGTCAATTTGACCCTTATAGCAGAGAATTGACTACAGTTTGCACTCCTATGTCTAAGAAAGAACATGGGTCTGTAAATGTTTGCATGTATGTTGAACATATACTGGTTTGTAGTTGGAAAAAGTAACTATATTTCTAGGAAGATCTCCAAACTGTTTGCAAGTTTCGAAACCCAGTTTGTAACTTTGGTATAATCAAAATGAAAACTTCTAGAAACATGATGAGCAACAGGAAGGATATTATCTCAGTAAGATGATTTCCCTATCATATGAATTAACTTAGGGCTCATTCTCAGGGGCATGTTTTGTTCCTGGGAATTTCATCAGTGGGTCTAATTTTTGTCTCATGGAC